TTATCAGATCATCAGATTTGTAGTCGACAAAGGCTAGCATCGATTTCTTCAAACTCGAGAAAGATTTGCTCTGCGCTCTTATTTACAGGTTCGGAGTGCACTACTAGGCACACTTTGACATAACCATATGAGGACGAAGTTCCCTTCCTTAGCTTCGCTCAGAGCTCCTCTGTTATGTCTCTTTCGGATATAGCAGGACGCTGCGCTACAGTATGTTGCGTTACACTAAGCAATAATGGTTAATGATTCCTCAAGTTCAACTCTGTCCATTGTCAATACATACAGGGGGGCCAAAAAAAGTCACTTTGCCTCATTGACTTTCGAGGCGCTATAAATTACACTTTATCAAATTCTGATCGGACATTTTTACTACCATATTGAAGAGCATATTAAGTACTATCACGACACTCCGCCACAGCCTTCTGGACGAACGCCATCGAGAGATTCTGGCACGCGACCGCGATGTGGTACCTGAGATCAGCGGGGTAGTCGATTTCTCCGCCACCGTAGACCACCCTATTGAACTCCGCCCGAACTAGGTAATTGAGTGGGTTCAGGTCAGGGGACATACTTCAATATTACATCTTCTTCAGGTACGAAACGCCCTTCCATTCGAAGTAGGCGGGAGTTTTTCCAAAACCCTTTGATTCCATGTGGTGGCACCCAAACCTGTAGCAGCACAAGGTCTCCAAGAAGGTACGGGCGACCACATGTAGGGAGGATATTCTTCTCGAGTTACTTGATGTAACCGCCAGCGCTCACCTTCAGTCGGGGTCTACAAAGAAAATATCGGTCTTCCCCTTTCCAGGTACCCCGGTCCATACCATCAACTCGCGCCTACGGTGAAGATGATGTCCTAGACCGTAGCGACGTTGACGAAGCTGCTCGATGTGGGAGGTCTTGCAGATCAAGAGTACTCCTCCAGGTAGCTATCTGTGGATGACTTCATTCAAGAAGTTTCGCAGCTGTTTGGAGGCGACGTGAATTCCAAAGGTGTTCTCCAGTCAGGCCGCGACTGGAGATGACTTCATATTTTGGTGTACATGAAGGCGATTGGCGGCAGCCTGCTCCAGCTTATAGAGGAAGATCTTGGGTATCTTCCACCTGGTACTCATATCCACTTCCCTGTCTGGGCTGCGAAAACTTCGTTGATATGTGGCTCGGCCGAAATGACTTTTTTTGGCCCCCCCCCCTGTAGATGTTCAACTAACGGGTGCAGCAATCTCTAGAAGTTCATGAAATGGATCAGATGTGCATAAAGAAAAGTGATACTGAATCATATTCAAGTTATTTGTCTGCATTTCCGTTTTGAATGATATGTGAATATCTGTTACATTTTTACACCGGTACACTAAAAAAAGATGAACAGGTGCTTTCCACTGTGAGTGCGCCAGATGAGCTGAGATCAGTTAGTTCGCTCAGCTTAAGCTGAGTTCAGCAACGTTCTGTTATGAAGCCTGGATGAAAGGGACGTTGGCCTGCATGGGTCACTCTCGGCCTCAGCTCAAAAGCTCAGGGCCGGCCCGGAGAAGCCGGGCCTTTTCAGAGAAAGGAGGAGAGCCCGGCGTCAGCTGGGCGATCCGACTGGTACAAAGTAATTTATTAATTTATATTCCAGTAAATATTGCCGTTTGGAGGCGTGACAGGGAACAAAAAAGTAGGAACACACTCGGTTCTTTCCGAACCGAAAGAGCGCATTTCCTTCACGGAAGAAGCCCTATCCAGGAGGAGCACCTTCCCAGCAAAGAGATGTGTTCAATGCTTACACAGTATTCAAATGAACTGGAAATGATACTGCGCCGGAGAGGGTTTTCCTCGTCGCCCGGAACTGTCACAACAGAACACACGGGAATTTTTCGTGAATACCGGTCTAGAAAAAAGTGAGGTGCGTTCTGGAAGTGCAATTCTTCTAGAACGGCATTGCTCTTAGCTTCATAAAATGTCAAATATAAAGAAAGTTGTGACTGCTCAGCATGAAAACTCGTAGATGACAGTAAAATAAGCCACTGCCTCACAGGAAAATTCTCTTGGAAAGGAGATGTTTGAAACCGCTCAAGCACAATAAACGTCATACCTGAAGCCTCGCAACTGCCTCCCCTCTCCTCTTCAGAAGCTCGTCCCCAACAAAGGCATGACCATTCAAATAAAGGGTACTTTGTTTCCTGACATATTTCGAAAAGAAACCGCAGATAGTTCGCTCCAGTACTACGGTGGAAAGCGTATTAGTCAGCTTGTGAGCTTGCGCGACCTTTTGAAACAACGGTATCAGATTCAATGCCATTTCTTTTTCTGCCTTTTGTGTTTTTGGCTCTTTTTTGGGATGGTGTCGTAATGAAAAGAAATTTTATCCCACGTGATGGCGCCTAGGGGACATGCCGCTGAAAACAGGTAACGTCGCAGAGACCGCAACACTGCTTGCAAACTAGAGGGATCCCAGGAGCGATTGGAACAACTTAGGATGTTTGGATCAGGTGCATAAGAAGCAATTTGGATATAAATTTACGCTTTTTCACTCAATTAAACAAAACTCCTTTCGTTTAAATTTGAGCTGACAATCTGAACGCTACATCTTCACTAAATGGAAGTTGTTTTTGGGGTGAATGGGTGAAATTACAGGGCCAGTGCTACATTCCGGATTTCCAGCACGACCACCAACAGAACTTCGCTCTCACTGAGAATATCTCTCCACACATATTGCTCTGACGAGAAAGGGATTACCAATACGTGTTGCCATCACACTAATACTCGTGGAACGGGAAGAATCAGCATCGCAAGGTACAACCCTCTCCCTACCCCTTACCGAATGCGTTAGCTCTTGAACCGTATTATGTCTGTGTTGTGGTAGTACAGGTTGTGAAATCCGTGAATCAGTTTGATGGTTTTCGATTCACCACAGATTCATTCGAACATTCAGAACGTTCACTTCCACAATCATATCGCCCATTGTGTGCCATTTCGCCCGAATTTTTTATAGCGGTGCATTGTCGTGTATGGACTTCACGGGAACATGTCCGTTATAGATTCCGAATAAGCTAACGACTGCTACCACGTCGAAGCCGCGGAAAAAAATGAAAAAAAATTTTCGAATCTATAGCGATATTGCTGTGCCTATCTCAGTGGCAGATCAGCTTTGGGCAATCCTACCAAATATCGCATTCGGCCGAGAGCGCAGCGGTGTTTTTATCTATCTCAATGAAAAGTCACGATTTTGAACTTTGATACTGAGCACACTCTATTCAAAATTCAAAATCGTTTGTCTCTGTTCAAACAAAATGGACAGAGTCGGGTCTGGTTGTCACGAAATTCGTAGCGTGAATTACAGTAGCAGCGGTTTTCTGCGTCCAGGAAGAGATAATGTGGGTAGGACAGAGACATTGATGTTGTGCTATAGATACATGATAACAGCTGTTAAGAGCTGATAAATGGCGGTGGAAAGGGAAAGGTAACTCAGTTTACAAATATAAATATGTGGTAGCAACTAGGCCAGCACTGCAGGCCATAAGAGTAGCAGTAGGGTCCTTTCATAAGGCCGCCAAAGCCACTCATCCCCTCCGAATGACAGTATAGATGAAACGTTGAGGGATATTATCTTAATACATTAAAATTCTGTGTGCCCTAGTGTTCTGGGCATTTAGGCATTAGCGCCACGGTTGGGAATGACTGGACGCCGTAGAATTTTTACTGTTCGTCTTGCTTAGGGTGAACGTAGTGGTGCCAGCCCTTATCCTGGTCCTGTAGGTGAGGCAGGGTCATGCAGACACAGCGAGACAGCTTGAGTTTCTTCTCACTCACCGGGCCCTACAACTCGGCCGAACACGCGGACCACTTTTTGCGCAATAATGCTTCACTAAATGCTTCGGAAAATCAAGCCGGTGTTTGACTGTTTTTAGACTGGTGGAGCTTTCTCAGAGCTGAGATACATCGCTCAAAGTTCGGAATTCTGCCCTATAGCTTTCATATACGCTGCTTCGATGATGCCTTAGTTCACTTCATTCCTTACGCCATGTCGAGAACGGCCGTTTTGCTGCGCAGAAGAAGTGATAACGACAGCCCCACTCGACTCCCCTCGTACTGTACTCCTATCTCAGACTGTTCTTGGCATGTGGCATGGATGGAACACAGTGCGTCAGGATCTCGTCAGCATGGGGTTTGTAAAGATTTCCCTTTCCCCGCAGGTCTAAGTGTTGCGGGTAGTAGGTGCTCAATGATGAACCAGTAGCTCATGGTTATCTCTCCAGCAGAGACAGAAGCGAAAAAACATTTGTAACACTCCGAACAGAGACTGGCTCAGCTGTGCGACTGGCGCCTTGGACGAGTTGGTCGCACGTCTGCAAGTCAGCCGTCTGCAAGCAGGATTCGTCCTGCAACCAATAGCCGGCAAGAGCACAGGAAACGCTCCAGGCAACGCTATGTGCACATGCGATTTCGCTTGTAAGCCGTTGTCATGCACAATTACAACACGCGATTGCACCGGCTGCAATGGGGCGACGCGCAAGAAGATCGCAAATCGTCGTTCGCGCGTCCAATGACGTTCCCTCAGTTTGCACTGCCCTTTCACTGTGAGCATCGGATTTCATGCATACAAGGAAATGGTAGACTGCTACGTCTCTTTTTGGTCATAGATTGTCTATTCTTGACTTATAGCTTCTGAAATCGTCGTGATTAGTAGGCGCGACATCGCACGCGACGCTCACTGACGCAGCGAATTACAATTTTCTCGCCACATGCCCGTTGCAGAGCTCGCGCGTCCAGCTTCAAAAGTGGTATCCAGCGGTAGCAAAGCACGACTACTGTTCATCAGGAATATTGGGTTTGAAATGTAGTGGCAATGCGAAACGTGGCTGTCTCACATTGAATATTATCATGGAAATGTTTTTTACTATAGATCCCTGTCGAATTTATTATACTCTGTGTGAACTTTGGTGTGGTTATTACTGGCAGGCTGCTAATAAAAGGGCGCCAGATGTGCTCAGGGTGTCATCACATATACTCCGAGGAAGATGACTTCTGCAAAATTAGTCGCATTGGTGAGTTACGTTATTGTACCTCATTCGCTTCGTTATTTAGTTGAGGTCGCGTAGGGAACCGTGTTGGATAAAGAATAAAGGACAAATTCTTCGTCGTTAATCAATCCCTTTGTGGGATGCGGCACGCACTCTACTTCCATTCAGAATCGTAGCGGCTTACTGAATGGGAAGTGGCTTATACAGTGACAATGTAATGGCCAGCAATGTACAGACAGATGTTTTATCGTCCCAGGCAAATCTGAAACCAACCCAGCCCCGCAGAGGAGAACGCGTGGTTGGCCTGGGCGGGAGTTAATCGGGAATAACCCGGGACAGTTGGTAGCGCGCCGCTTGTCGCTATACAACTCCTGTGGAAATTTTGTTTGGTGTATAGACGATAATGGATTTAGCTTGAGCCCAGCGTGTGAGGTGGCTAACGTGTTGAGGTGCGCTTTAAGATGTGCAAACATCCTCTTTGGATACAAAGTGAAGTCATACAGTGGTCCCATCCTTGCACAAGAAACCCTTCTAACATTTAAATTTGTCTAGGAGCCCATTCGTGATTTGTCCCTCGGACCACGCGCGTAGTTAATACACTACTACACCTCCGATTACATAGAGATCTTCGAGTTTTCGCTAACACGGCAAGAACTCAACGTCGCTGAGGATGTTTAGACGTTTTTGCTGCGGGGCGTGTCAGGTGGACTGGGATTGACCCTGTGCCAGCCTCATTTCTGATTGTCCTCGAGCGCCAAGGTGGATGCAAAGCGACGCCGCACAAAACGCAGCTCACCTGGCACGCCGAGCGCAAGGGCAACGAATGTAATCTCTTTTCGATTCGATGGGCAATCCCCATATATTTACGACTTTTCAACACGGCATAAGGTATCTGCTCGTAATATCTCTATATTTTCATTTGTTTTCGTATCATACAACCGTCTTCCTAACAGTACGTTAAGGTCGTGTTCCTTCTACCTGCATGCCTCAGCAATATATTAAATTTCACTCCTACCATTATTACCCATTTGAGTGAGTCACTTTATGAGAACTCAGTATTTCTTGAAAGATCCATTTGCTCAACATTTGTTAAGGGCAACTTCCGAAATGTCCTAGGAAAACCGACGACTCAAGAGCAACGATGAGGTCTGTGTTTACGCTGCCCACAACGTCTTCCGCCAGAAAGTCGCAAAAGGTGAAAAAGTGGCCGATATCGAGTACAATAACTCTCCTCGTCTGATGTCAGGAATGGTGGGTTCCCCTTGTCATTTCAAAGAGAGACCCCGAGCCCAAGCGATTCGCGATCGTCCTTCCTTGTGCAAGAGTCCATCCCAAAGCACATATACTGTCTCACATTCACTACGCTTTAGTGAGTGAGAAGGGTGCCACAGCCGTAGAAGTTTCTGGTTCTGACGTCCACCTAACTCTACACCGCTTACCTACAAGTGTCCTCTTTACGACTGAACGGACGCTTATTGCGCTTGGCGGAACAGAGCGGTGGGCATAAATCCTGACTGCGTGTTCGTTTTTGCTGATCGTGCTCCCATAAGTGATTCTATTTTCCACTTCATGTCGCGAGGCTATACGAGCTCAGCCACTGATGATGTAATTGCTTTAGGTGCCAGAAACTCCGCTAGATGTATTTTCCTCTCTACAGGTGTGCCGCCGACGCATTCGAAGGCTATTCACTGTTTGTGAATTGGATTTAGTATTCCGAATTTGGTGTTCTATGTGTTTTCACTGCTGAATGATACTTAGCTCAAAGTGGCGATAAGTTATCCTTTGAGCGGTACGATATAGCTCTAATCTCGAAACGAGCAGGCCCGGGAAGGGGTGAGGCTGCTGGAGATTCTAATTCAAGAAAAATGCCCAAATTTCCTGCTTCACTTCTCCATTCAATATGGGACCTAATTGAAAGCAGTATCCACCAGGTAAGCATGCATGAGCTGTTGCGGTGATGTAGATCTACAAAGCGACCCTCTACCAGAGGTTTCGGGAAGGACATTGAGGACTACCATTCACTCATTTTGAACGGCCAGGGGTTATACAATAAGCAGAATAAAATGGTTGAAATTTTTGTAAACTGTACTTTTCACCTATCGGGCCCTTATGGCTTCCCATTTAGGTGAAGCCAGGCATTTGTTAGAACACCCGAGTTTTTCTAGACCAAATCCCCGTGAATAGATAGATTATTTTATTTTCTTTATATCCAAGTTATTTACTCGCTGGAATCGTAGCCTTGTAAACCTATTGGAAATGCTTTCAGAGTTTTTCTCTTGTAACAGAAATTTTGCGGTACACGTGAAGTCCTAGAGCAGGAAAGGTATCAGAAATTAGACGCGGACCTCTCACGGTTGTTACACTGCATTTCCCTCCATGTTGTCTATGAAAAAAATGCAAAATAAAGAGGCGCGTAGCCGATCCACCATTTGCGGGGGGGGAGGTGGGCGAGTCGTAATGACATTAGACCAATCCCCCCAACTAATGATGTGCTCTGGTTTGACTTTCACGTTTTCCCGCAAGGTTAAGGGTAAAAAATGCAAAACAACTGAAAATACGCAGCAACGTTGAAAGAAGTGACATGATAGAAGTATGAAGTTGACACGGTGGCAAGCTCTCAATGCATCCTATTCTCTTATTTACTATTGTCACAAAAGGTGCTTTCCTCACTCACGATGCCATCCTGGGCCAGCAGCAGATGGTGGAGAACCTGCCCAGCTGCTCTTTTTGAATAATGAAAAAAACCAGGCGCTATGGAGTGGCACAACGAAGGCCTTGTGAGCTCGGTTAAGTTTGGCCAAAAAAATGTGAAAAACACAATGAACAAATATCAACTACACCTTGGCAGACGTACGAATTGCCGATTGAGAAACAAAATGGCGATTGAAGTTGCTTAAACTACAGTCCAAGCATATTCCGTGAGCGGAATATTCCAGTCAATACAAAGAAAGGTAAGCGAATATGTTTTCTCATCACTTTCATTTCACAGAGAAACAATAGTTCGATCTCATTTAGCACAGTTAAAAAAGCTGCTAATTGGATGTATGAGTTGGCAGAAGTGGTGGACGAATGGACCAAAGAGTACGACTCAAGGACACGAGTAAGCTCTACCGTACACTCATCAGCTGCTTTCATATGGATCCTTCTAAAATTTTCCAGCTTATGCACCCATTTGCACCTTATAATGCGGATGTGCCTATAGGCACCCACCGGGACCTGATCCAAAGACCCTTTATTTCAAACTAGCCTGCGTCTACACTAGTGATCGGTTTGTGTTCATACATGAAATCAAAAAGTTGATTTGTTTTGAAAACCATCTTTCCAGTCCCAGAACGATGTACTCAGACGGAGGTGGTGCATGCAACAAGAAGGCAGATTGTGGATATTTTGGATATGATTACGATTGCCTCGCCAATCTTTGTTTTGCTCCAACTCGCACTGCTATTTATAATTAGTTTCTCGAAGTCATTTCAATAAATTTGAATGGAGAAACTTTTCTTACGATTGCTTGCCTATGCGTATTGCTTTCCACTCTACATGAAGCGGCTGCAGTCGGTACTGGTTATGCGCGGGAATAAAGACTCATCGCAGACGTCGCTTGGTATGCCATTTAAAAGGGGCGGGTGTTGGGCTTCCGGGAATATTGCCTCTTGAAGTGATCGTATTCAGTTCTTTGTTCAGGGCAAGGCATGATGGCTCTACAGAACTGACTCATACGAAAATACTTCACGAAAAACCTATGCCATGTGCAAACAAAGTGCGCAACCGCAATCTCCCCTCCTTTTGGATATGGCATGCGTTTTACTCGCTGCATTTTCAGTAGTTCCTCACTTTCTCAAATCACATCATGTTATTTATAGGTGAACTGAAAGTAAACGAAAACTCCACGGCACGCACGAAAGTCTGGTTAGTTACTAGGGTTATGAGGAATTGCCCTGGTCGAGAGTCCGCTCAGAGAGGGATAAGGAGGGAGTAGTGTCGTTGGTACGGCGACAGCAGAAGCAAAATTCTTTCCAGAGGATATCACCTGATTTATGCACATTGTGGATCCGTGAACCTGGTCTAGTCCATAGTACCAGAGCAAATACAGCGAGGGTGGAGGTGAAAAACGAATGGCATCTTGGGAGCAAGAGCAACCGGAGAGCTCTGCTGCAGGCGCAGCTACGATTCAAAGCACATACACGGGCATAGAGTTGGACTCCATGATGTTAACCGCCCAGGCGAGCTTTCAGGCTGTAGCTGCGCGGAGAAAACTATCGTGAAACTACTTCTTCCTAACCTTGCTATGAGCGGGACGTATGCCACAATATAGAGGTTATGACAGTGCTCCAAATGAGCTGTTTTCTCATGATTTTGGCGAAAAGGTTCGTGTTAGGACCTCGCTAGAGTCTTCAAACAGTGTGCAAATAGTTTCGCCGAAAGCTTCCGCAAAAAATCACGGGGAATTGTTTTCGTATAGCGGGTCGGAGGGAATATGAGTGCTTCGCATAAAGTGGATTTTTCTAGATTCCGGCACTGCGTCGGAGGGGAGGGTTTGTCGTGTCACAACTGTTACAACAAAAGCCGAAGCATTCCTTTGGAACCTGGCAGTGGTTTTGGTTCTAGAATAAAAGTCACGAACGAAAAAAGTTATTTGCAAAAAAGATGATGATATTCAGAAAAGATACCTGGGGAGCCTGTCCTGATCTGCTCTACGGATCACGGCATGGGCATGCGCTGCACCTTGTGGACATCGGAAGGAACGCTGGCGGACCCTAATCCTCGCTGGCGGACGCTCTACAAAGTATGAATGCAGTCCAAGTCTGTTGCTCGAAATGGCTGATGATGTGTTCCCCATCAGTTTTTGCCCAAAATTCTTAGCACTAATGACAAATTTTAATCTTACCACATGGAGACAGCCTCGTTTTCAAGACGAGAAAATGTGATTTACCTATAGACTTGCCATCAGCTCTAGAAAACTGCGCACTCAACATCCAGGATCCTGGTCCCTGCGCAGCTGCACCAAACTGCCACATTCCTCGTTCGAAAATGCACATTAGCGGAAACGAACGGAAAATCTTTGCACATGGGTGGCTGTCCTCTTGTCTCCGATCCCCCCCCCTCTCCTGGATCAAAGATATTGCCCATTTTGGTGAGAAACGTGTACAAAATGTTCTCCGTTCATGCGACAGAGCAACGTATAAATAAGAAAATATCGCATATATACCTATGTTTCTTAGGTGAATGCGTGGCGCGACCAAAATCAGTTTTCTGCCTATCTGTATTTTGCCACCCGCATTTCGTAGGTCTTGCTGTTTATTGTGCTCCACACAACAGTATTTTCTGCTAACTAGGGGACTCCGTCGTTACCATCGGGATTCATCTGGGATCGATCAGAAACAACTTTTCTAATAATGCGCCGTCTAGTGAAGCATTTATTGCTCGATTTAGTCTCCGTTCACCACAGATTGCACGATTATAGCTTCTATGAACTGTGACTGCATCATTCCAGACCTTGAATCGGCCGTGATTTCAAGAACGTTCATCCGTGATAAAACACTGGAAAGCCTCCTCGCAAAATTTGGACATAGGCAACACCACTTCAACCACAAGCTTGACAGAAGCTGAGGGTTGCTGTACAAATCGCGGGACTTGCAGGGGAAAGACCTCCCCTACCCACAGCTATCAAAGCCTGCGCACCAATTTTTTCGCTCCATGGTCGTGAACACTGATGTCTTCTTTCCGAATGCATCAACATGGACTTGTTACACACTCTGCGGGGTCACTGGATCGTATGAATGAGTCGAATAGCGTTAGCTACTCACGGAATGGTGAGAACAGCATCAATGTGGTTCTGAGTTCCACAAGAAAATTACACTGATATGATCTGTGCACGCGGGACGTCACGAATCACACCACTACCTCGGCTTGTAGCAACTTGGAGAAGCACTTTACCTTGACATGCAATTGGTCCTTTCCCTGAGCCTTGCAGAACGATCAGTATTCACTGGAGAAACGAGGTTACGAACTAGATTCCACCGCTATGAAGTAGTCAAAGGGAATCTCATGCGTATTAACGTGCTACATTTTTCACACTGCCATTTGCGCTTTTTTTCCTCAGCAAAGACCCCAGTTCCTGGAAAAATATCCTGGATGGACCCAAGTAATAGAGTTTGAAGGCAGTGCCGCCGTTTGATGTTGCCCTCTCTGGATACCATAGACTTCCCTGCGATTATGCAGTTGTACTACTTTTGCATCTCAAAGAGGCCCGCCCAGCTGGCTAGCGTAGGGTTCTATATAACGAATTTTCCATGATTTTTTTCTGCTTTGTCTTCACTCTTGGATCACGTATTGTATGAGCTCCATAACTCGTTATTCTTGAAAGCGGGCTCAGCCTTCCGAAGGCTAAGCCAAAGCAGCATCCTTCTTGACAAGCGGGTAGCGCCATCTTCTAGTATTTTTGAGCTGCGAAATCAGTACATGCTCCACCTTTGTCGACAAAGCTACGATATCCAGTGAGGGCTAGGAACGTCAAATGATGGGGGCCAGGAACATCAAATGAGCGGGAGTTGACTTTCAGGGCGATATGTGCAGTAGAGGCAATGGCGTAGGCAGCGTGTAGTGTGGACGTGGAAAAATCTCTAAGGAACTTCTCCTCAACCCAATGAGACCTCCACGACTACATAGGATGCATGATGTGATCTCCACATTTGTAATTGAGAATTGAGCTCGCTCGAATGTTATTATAGATAGAAATAATCGTTCCTGATGGCAGCAAGTCGATTAGCAGTCAGTGATTTGGCGCTCGACATTCTGTACGACCCAGTTACAGCGCAGCGAAGAAGCAAACGCTAGGGTTTTTGATTTCCACGTTTTTCCCCCACCTAGTCGTGCCATGTTTTGCCCTATTCATGAGATTCAGTGGGCTTGCTTTTGCCATTTCAGTTGGTGAGTCGGTTCGAGGACTTTTTAAAACGATGGAGCACGCTTTCTGAGGGTGGGCGGTCACTGCCAGCATTCGTTGTGGAATAGAAGGAGAAGGGCAGCGGAAGGCGTTTGGCTACACCCAAAGTATGTGTGGCCAAACACCTTCTCGCTGCCTCCACTCCGTTTTGCCGATCCTGTCCTGTGGTCACGAGTAATTCTATTTTCGTTAATATGGTGCTTATACAGTCAAACAGTTCATTTCGCCAGGTAAGTCACTGATGATGTGATTGCTTTGGTGCAGTGGTGGTACACTCACCTCTCAATTTTACACAAGGCGCATCCCAGGGCTGTTTCCTGTAACTCGATTAGTCTCTTAATCGGGTCTCATTGTATTTTCACTGCTAAATGATATTTAGATATCATGATATCGAAGTGATGCGAACGAAGGATAAGTCAGCCTTCAGCGGGACGGTATAGCTCTGCTATCTTGAAACGAGCCCACCCGGAGGGGCGATGGGGCCGCTGGAGATCCTCATTTAGGGAGCGCCTGATTTTTTTGCTATACTCACCCTTGAATAGTGTCTTGCGACCACAAGTTCTTCATCGAAAGCAGCTACCCACGCAATCGCTGGCTTTGACCTTCAGAACTCTAAAGGTTTTAGAGTGTTCCGCAATGATAAGGTCAAGAAATGTAGAACTGCTGAAAAAATACACAGCACCATTGGAAAAAAGTGGTGACTATAAAAAGGTGAGGAGCAGATGACAGCTCATATGCTCCTCACATTCTCTCATTGATTATGTCACACAAACATGCTGCACATCACCATAGGAAAGGATTAGCTTGCAAATTAAAGAGTGCGCGCTGTGTGCGGGGAATTTGAGTGCAGTCAAATCAGCTTTCCTTACGTACTGATCCAGGAGAATGTGGGGAGGGGGGAACGCTAACAATGAACCTCTGCTGTGCAGTGAAGCAGCGATGAATGCTCTATGAGCTCGGTTCGGTTTGGCATTGAATGGGTGAAAAAAGTTTAGTTTTTTGAAAAAAAGTAAAAAGCTCACAAATGTACATTCACCTGCAGACATACGATTGCGACCTGGAACAAAGGGCGAGGGAAGTGCTAAACTATGGTCCAAAGCTATCCAATGAGCGGATATTCCATCAATTACAAAGAAGGGTAGCGACTTGTTTCTCATCACTTCTTTCCAGAAAACTAGTTTGATATCATTTAGCCCAGTTAATAAAAGCTGCTAATTGGATGTATGAGTTGGCAGATGTGGTGGACGAATGGACCAAAGAGTACGACTCAAGGACACGAGTAGGGTTCTACCGTACACTCATCAACTGCTTTCATATGAAACCTTCCAAATTTTCCAGCTTATGCACCCATATGCACCTTATATGGGATGTGCCTATAGGCACCCGGCGGGACCTGATGGAAAGAGCCTTTGGTTCAAACTAGCCTGCGTCTACACGAATGATCGGTTTGTGATCATATATGAAATCAGAAAGTTGTCTGTTTTGAAAACCATCTTTCCAGTCCCAGAACCGATGTACCCCAGACGGGAATGGCATGCAACAAGAAAGAAGACTGCTTATATTTCGGACATGATTACGATTGCCTCGCCAATCTTTGTTTTGCTCCAACTCGCACTGCTATTTATAACTAGTTTCTCGAAGTCCTTTCAATAGATTTGACCGGAGAAACTTTTCATAGTTCGCTTGCCTTTGCCTATTGCTTTCCACTCTACTTATGATCGACGCGAGTAGTAGGTGATGGTTTTGCGAGGAAATAAATATTCATCTTGACATCCAATGATGTGGTGATGTTCAATGCCACGTCTAGAATGGAAGGCATGAATTTTTTCTTGATTCATTAGGTTGGCGGGAAAGTTCTGTCACATTTCATCAGATCGACTTCCTTTTCAAAGAGAGGCACAAAAGATAAAATAATACAGCAAAATCATTGCGAAGTCCTTGCCACTTTTTAGCACTTCGTGGATGCCATCGCTTCATTGCAGCCGGCTCGACGCAATGTTGGACATCACCTCAATTTCGACGTGGGCTCGAGTCATATAGGTTTTCTTGGCCAAATAACGATTAAGTACTGGAGGCACCTAGCAGTCAGAAAGAGCAATGCCTGGGCTACTCCAAGGAGGAGAATTCCCGCTTTCATAGCATGAGGTTGGGCTGGAACTGTTCTGGACGGAACGGGCTGCACCATTAAGTTGATTACAAACTGTGTTGATAAGTTTCCTTTTTCATCGACGACTCGCTTCAGATCTCATTGCTGTGGAAGAAGTCGCAATGGAAGCAAGATAAGAGGGGAACCCTACAGCTGGTAAAGGGGACGTCCGGTCGGTGGTGGCATGATTCGAGCTCTCCGTGCGACACACACTTTGACATGTACAGGCAATGTCTCCTTTTCAGTGTCACCCATAACTCTCCCTCCCTATAAGGATGCAGTATGTACTAATTTTGCATCTCAAAAGGCGAGAGGATGGGGCCACCCGCTTGTGAAGGGGAGACCGCCCCGCCCACCTGGCCAGCATAGGGTTCTATTTAGGGCATTTTCCATGATTTTTTTTCTGCTTTTTTCTTCACTACTGGATCACGTATTATATGAGCTCCATAACTCATTATTCTTGAAAGCGGGCTCAGCCTTTAAAGGCTAAGCCAAAGCAGTTATGGCAGCCAGGTGGGCGGGGCGGTCCTCTTCACAAGCGGGTGGCCCCATCCTCTCGTACTTTTGAGCTGCGAAATTAGTACATCCTCCACCCTTGTCGACAAGAGCTACGATATCTAAGGAGGGCGTAGGAACATCAAATGAACGCGGGCGCTGCCTTTAATGATATGGTGCAGCCTTCTCACGGCGCTGCAGCCGGGTGATCCGACTGGTTCACTCATAATACGCAAAAGCTGGAATTGTTACTCAAAATCATGCAAGCGATAGAAAGCAGAGAAAGACAGAAAATTGGCGCGCTCAAAGGGATTGAGTTTGAGTTGTCCGTAGACCGGACAAGAATGTATCCGCTACCTTCGGCACTGACCCCTTCAAGCGCTTCCTCAAACTATTTCTTCTACCACCCTGGCGCCAGCATGACAGCTGTTGATGCCGAAATAATGGAGCTGCCTAAGAACGATCTTTATTACTAGGCAATCTTCCACGACGCTAATGTCTGAAAGCGGAGCCTACAGGTTGAATGATGAAAAGAGGTTTGGGTGTACCTGTGAACTCAGCTCGAGGAGCTGAGGCAGGGATACTGCTGGATGAAAAAGCTGCTCCCTCGGTCAATTCGCAGCAATGAGATCTGAAGCGAGTCGTCGATGAAAAAGGAAACTTATCAACACAGTTTGTAATCAACTTAATGGTGCAGCCCGTTCCGTCCAGAACAGTTCCAGCCCAACCTCATGCTATGAAAGCGGGAATTCTCCTCCTTGGAGTAGCCCAGGCATTGCTCTTTCTGACTGCTAGGTGCCTCCCGTACTTAATCGTTATTTGGCCAAGAAAACCTATATGACTCGAGCCCACGTCGAAATTGAGATGATGTCCAACATTGCGTCGAGCCGGCTGCAATGAAGCGATGGCATCCACGAAGTGCTAAAAAGTGGCAAGGACTTCGCAATGATTTTGCTGTATTATTTTATCTTTTGTGCCTCTCTTTGAAAAGGAAGTCGATCTGATGAAATGTGACAGAACTTTCCCGCCAACCTAATGAATCAAGAAAAAATTCATGCCTTCCATTCTAGACGTGGCATTGAACATCACCACATCATTGGATGTCAAGATGAATATTTATTTCCTCGCAAAACCATCACCTACTACTCGCGTCGATCATAAGTAGAGTGGAAAGCAATAGGCAAAGGCAAGCGAACTATGAAAAGTTTCTCCGGTCAAATCTATTGAAAGGACTTCGAGAAACTATTATAAATAGCAGTGCGAGTTGGAGCAAAACAAAGATTGACGAGGCAATCGTAATCATGTCCGAAATATAAGCAGTCTTCTTTCTTGTTGCATGCCATTCCCGTCTGGGGTACATCGGTTCTGGGACTGGAAAGATGGTTTTCAAAACAGATAACTTTCTGATTTCATATATGATCACAAACCGATCATTCGTGTAGACGCAGGCTAGTTTGAACCAAAGGCTCTTTCCATCAGGTCCCGCCGGGTGCCTATAGGCACATCCCATATAAGGTGCATATGGGTGCATAAGCTGGAAAATTTGAAAGGTTTCATATGAAAGCAGTTGATGAGTGTACGGTAGAACCCTACTCGTGTCCTTGAGTCGTACTCTTTGGTCCATTGGTCCACCACATCTGCCAACTCATACATCCAATTAGCAGCCTTTATAACTGGGCTAAATGATATCAAAACTAGTTTTCTGGAAAGAAGTGATGAGAAAGAAGTCGCTACCCTTCTTTGTAATTGATGGAATATCCGCTCATTGGATAGTTTGGACCATAATTTAGCACTTCCCTCGCCCTTTGTTCCAGGTCGCAATCGTATGTCTGCAGGTGAAGTGTATATTTGTGAGCTTTTTACTTTTTTTTTCAAAAAACTAAAACTTTTTTCACCCATTCAATGCCAAACCGAACCGAGCTCATAGAGCATTCATCGCTGCTTCACTGCACAGCAGAGGTTCATTGTTAGCGTTCCCCCCTCCCCACATTCTCCTGGATCAGTACGTAAGGAAAGCTGATTTGACTGCACTCAAATTCCCCGCACACAGCGCGCACTCTTTAATTTGCAAGCTAATCCTTTCCTATGGTGATGTGCAGCATGTTTGCGTGACATAATCAATGAGAGAATGTGAGGAGCATATGAGCTGTCATCTGCTCCTCACCTTCTACAGTCACCACTTTTTTCCAATGGTGCTGTGTATTTTTTCAGCAGTTCTACATTTCTTGACCTTATCATTGCGGAACACTCTTAAAACCTTTGGAATTCCAAAGATCAAAGCCAGCGATCGCGTGGGTAGCTGCTTTCGATGAAGGGCTTGTGGTCGCAAGACACTATTCAGGGGTGAGTATAGCAAAAAATCAGGCACTCCCTAAATGAGGATCTCCAGCGGCCCCATCGCCCCTCCGGGTGGGCTCTTTTCAAGATAGCAGAGCTATACCGTCCCGCTGAAGGCTGACTTATCCTTCGTTCGCATCACTTCGATATCATGATATCTAAATATCATTTAGCAGTGAAAATACAATGAGACCCGATTAAGAGACTAATCGAGTTACAGGAAACAGCCCTGGGATGCGCCTTGTGTAAAATTGAGAGGTGAGTGTACCACCACTGCACCAAAGCAATCACATCATCAGTGACTTACCTGGCGAAATGAACTGTTTGACTGTATAAGCACCATATTAACGAGAATAGAACTACTCGTGACCA